GGAATGGTTCGTGCTGAACTAGAATAAAAAGAAAGCCAGATATCATGGAATCTCAGCAGTGACAAGAGATTTTTCAGACTCAAAAAGGGAAAGTGGATCTGCCTTCCTCTGAAGAGGGTGTGGTGAAGTAAACAAAAGAAGAACTTTCCCCTAGAAAGACCAAAGAAAAGAGGAACTGGTGTCTATTCTGTATTCAGCCTGAAAATATCAGGACCCCAAACCCTTATTTAGGATTTTTGCTCACATTAAGTGAATTTGACTGAAAAAACAGAATGTCTGCTTTTTTTTCCTGCCTTAATCACTTCATCAACAAAATCAGTGCTCTAACCTCATGAATGAGAACAAACGTAGATCAGGCTTAGGTTAAATTAAGCCTTACAGTCTTACAAAAAAAAAAAGAAGGAAAAACAGAAGGAAGAAATAGTTTTTGAAGACCACAGGAAAAAAAAAAACAAAAAAAACAAAAAAGAGGAAGGGAAAAGAAAATAATTATTTAGTACAGGTATATCAGTGACAGGCTCTTCATAGACTACATTCTCCTCCACAAAGTTGGGAAAAAGAAGAGATACAGAGTCACCTTTATATATGTAGATAGATCACACCAGTTTGATATCTGGTATAAAGTATTTTTTAAGGTGATTGAGGAATCCAAATCTCATCTTGAAATTCAATTATAAAAAACCCAACTATCCTCAAAAGAACTAAGCGATTCTCTTCCAGCCACTGGGAGACAGTAGATAGTCCTCACAGCAGGGCTGGTATACTTGAGACCAAAGACATCACAATATCCCTATGCTATTTTATATAAGAAAATTTCACATTTGGCCACAAAAATGTGTGCATCACAGCAAGTTTTAGTGGCATATTTGCTTTATTGTTAACAAGTGGCAAATTAGCATTAGGTGGTGATTTACATTTATTAATTAAAACAAAACTGACACTTTAAACATAATATACCAAATAAGATACAAACAAACCCAGGAATTCTGCAAAAAACCCACCCCACTGGATGGCCACAAAATACAAATATTCAATGTACTGAGGGGCAAGGCAAACAAATGCAACGCTGACAAAATTAATTACCTTCAACACAAGAATGAGTACTTCATTAAAAACATGGAACATCAATAAATAAATTTATGAAGATACACGCTAAGTATCTCATGAAGGATGAACACCTGAAGTTAAAAGCAATCATATAAAATAGGTATTGTAACAGTTGTAGAATAATCAGAACTTTACACATCAGACCCAAATCCATTCACGCTTCTGCCAGAAATCCAAATCCAAATACCGAACGGTGGTAAGCCATGCACTACTATTTAGAACTTAAGGTCACTAATCAGCTATATTAAACTGAATATTTGATTTGCTGACTTAAAAGCTGATGTTCACAATGGAGAAATATAATTTCTCTATTGATTATTTTTGTAAAGAAAAAACAGTAATTAAGGTATAATCTGAATAAGCAGTTTTCTAGCAACATGAAATGGAATTGGGCTAAGTAGGATCCTCCAAAACTGTGTATTCCAGAATAATGTAACAAAAACCTACCCAGCTAGTATGCAAGAGTAATCTCTTATATTGTAAATACTGGAAAGAAAATACCAACCAAGCAACTGCTGAATACAGCTAGAGAATCTTTTATCTAACATTTCTTCCAACAACACAATTAAGTAACTCAAACCTTACTCAACAAGTTGGAAAATAAAATACAACAAGCAACAAAACCATCACAAGTTGGAATGAGGTGTACTTGAACGGCAATAAAACTATGTTCACCAGTCACCGAAACCAATTTCACTGAAGATGAAAATTCTACCATCATACAACCCATACAGTTATCCATAGTTTAGTTGAACTGAAAAGAATTAAAGTTGCAAAAAGTGCTCTTAAAACCACATTTTTATCAGTCAAGACTAAAAAAACCCTTGTAACAATCTGCTCTTTGCACATATACAAAGTCTATGTGATGGAAACTAGCACTTCTTCAGAATTTTGCAATACACAGACAATACCATTACACTCAGATTAATTACACAGCCTACATTGGTGTGCACTGCTACGTGCCTTGTTTATTAGTTTAAACTACTGCTGTCACATCTCCTCCTTCCACCCATTCAACAACGCTTGTCTTGAAAACATTCCTTTTGTTCGCGGCATTTTACGCACTAACTCTCAGTTGCAAAGGTGAATTTAAGAGCTAGTCTCTCTCAGATGACAGAGAACTTTTGTGACACTTGAAGACTGGATCAGGTCTCAAAATATTCTTTGGAGATATTCTGCCCACGAACCTCGCTACCTGCAGCACACGTGGAAGAGCTCAAGCGGCCACTGCCTGCACCACTGCAAGCCCATGGAGCTGCCCATGGCCATCGCTGCTGGCTCGGTCAAGGGACCATCCTTTGGGGGGAGCTTCTCAAATCCTCTCTGGAAAGTGCAACGGCTCTTTGAGTCTCTTCAGCAAATTTGAAACAGTTCTGCCTAAATGTTTGTTTCATAGGTAGAAGACTGAAAGAGTGGTAAAGCACCTCCGCCTGCCTACCTCCCTGGAGTGATGTGCAAAACTGAGGGTTTAATTACCCACATAAGCATATACTCAAGTTGCTGCGTATTAAGAGACTTCAGTTCTGAAACTACCTAGGGTGTGGGCATCACGCATAGATACAAATCTGCATAAGATATGATGACATAAAGAGTAAGCCTTATGCTATGTCGTTTTTCCTACTGAACCTGCTATTTTTCATAATTCCACTGAACTTAATACAGTTCCAATGATTCCATGTTCCTTTCTAGCACAGAGATATTCCTTGTATAACAGATATTCACAAAACCAGAATGGGAATGCAAACACTCTCAAGCTGGATCTCAAAACCAGCTTTCTCCTTGTTTCTTTATACGGAACTTTACCTTTGACTTTTTTTTTTTTGAATAAAAATGAATGGAAGAACCTTAGTAGAGCACATTAGGAAGGAGCGGCAAACAGTAAAAGAAAGTAAGTCTGTCATAGCATCAGACATTGGTATAGAAATAATTAACAAAAAATCACATCAATAAATTTCACTGTAGATGTACAGTAACTAGATTAGGGTACTGAGGCTTCACAATCCCTTGATAGCATTCAGTCCCGTTTTGAATCAGCTCTTCTTTAGCAAAGCAACTTTTTATATTTGTGTAACTTACTGAGTTCTCACAAAATACATGAGTGTGCTCACACACATGCCCTACGTATATATATACACACACACACACAGAGAGAACTGGAAAAACAGGTGTGAAATGGAATAATCATATAATCCTAATTTTACACATGAACACTAAGGAATTTAGGCTTTTAAGTTAAATATTTGTCAACAAGGCATCCAGAGGATGACGCTAGCTAAGTTTAGGCTCATCAGTGAAGTGCATCAGCGGTGCATAGTTCATCTGGGGGTTTTGTCTTCAAAATTATCAATACTTTGATTCTTGAGACATTTTCAAACACTTCCCTTTCAGTATATGTATCCATGTGGTTTTTTTTTCTCCCAGGAAAACCAAGGCATAAAAGCAGGGAAAGGGTTAGAGCACGAGGGTTTGGACTGAAGTTGTTAATAAATTAAAATTGGGAACTTCCTGACATGTGTAATGTACTGAGAGATGCAAAATTCAGAGACTATCTCCCTTAATGGTTTATTTTGTCTTTAAACAATAACAAATATTCAGCTCAGCAGGGTCATTATGAAAACAAATCTACTATTTCCTAATATTCCACTGAGATGGAATTGCAGCGATCTGGGCTGGTAGCTTGTGTGACACAGTCTATGGTCTGTAACATCAGAGACTTCAGAAGCCTATGTCATTCAGTTACAAAACCAGTTGATAAAGTGGAAACATATCAGGTCTCTGATAGTCTCACTATACAGTAGTAAACTGCATAGTCAATTGTATTTTTCTTTTTTGCTTATATTTAATGCAGATCTAAACACATACACATTGCCTAATGTTACTATCAACAGTCATTTATGTTTCGCTAGACCTTCTCGTAAGGCCAAATTAAAGGTTCAGGAAGTCTTTTTAAAACTCTTCTTTCAGTTTAGGTTAATTCCTTGCCATCAATCATCAAAACGCAAATATAGTAAATGATGTGACACTTGAGCAATTTACTAAATGCTGCACTGGAAGCAGTTACACAAATGGCTTGAAAAGCAGAAATTGCAGTAACTGTATGTGGATTGATCTGAAACTAGGAAACCTCCCACCTACACTTCAAAGGAGAATCAGCCAATATGCTTTTTCTACAGTTACTGCAAGCCTGGAAAACCTGAAAGGTATTTATTTTCTTACTAAGCCTTCCCTTTGTAGAAAGTATTTTCAATAAATGATAAAATGCATTTTTCCAGCAGAAAAAAGAACTGGGAATTCATCAAGACAAAGAAATTGGTTCCTCAGTAGATTCATTAACTGATCAAACTTATCCTGGACTTCTACCTTTTTTGATGGAAACTCAGCTTGCAATAATTCAGTCTACAGACCTCCATGGTCCAAGTCCAGGGCAAATTTTCTAAAGCAGGCTTATCTAGGCAAAGGATACAGGATTCTAATTTCTCTAAGTATAGATATGAATGTGTCAAAATATGGATCCTAGAACCTAAACTACCTAGAACATAATTTGGCTGTGGTTTGTCAGTTCTAGCTATAGTTACGTTATCCATCCTACCATTCTCAGTAGCTATTTTACATAAATTATAAAAAAACAAGACTACACTGAACGAAGAATATTTTCTAAAAATATTTTGTATAAAAAGTGTAAGACAATTCCACACCATTGAACTAATTCTAAAACATAAATAGTTTGTGGCCTGCAACATGGCTGCATCAAGTTTCTTGAATCTTTCATTTTCCAAGATTGGTACCTGCTTTGGAAATGCTTTTCTTTAATCATGGTTTCTTCAAAATTCACTGCACTGATACTCATCACAAGTTTTGAGAATGCCAATAATGATCATAATACTACCACACAACACTATATTATATTTTGCATAAGCTACAAAGAAATTACATGAATTGATACTAATGGCATTTGTGAGTTTAAGGTAACCGTTTCTGACAAAAAGAGTGTATTTATTGTGGGAAAGGCACAATTCAGTTCTTTCAGATTGTTCTTTCAAGTGTAACTAAGATGGTGTCAGTACTTCAGACAAAAATTTCACAAAAGAAATTACCACATTCAGATATAAGTTAAGTGATTTGGCTTGTGAATGGTTTTAATATACTGTGTAACATGTTAAAAAAGCAAAAACTTCCAGGGCCTGACTCTTTTTGCCAATGAATTAGTGTGAAGGCTGTTACTAATTTCAAGAGGCTGCTGTTCAGAGCCCAAGAATACGTAAAATTGCAAAAAAGCATGTAAGGTGTTAACATATAAACACGGAGCACAGTTACTCCATTATGCGCTCATATGTAACCTGTGCTATTTGCACAGGAACAAGAATTAAAAGTAAGTCACTACTTACATCAAGTTCTACTGTCCTAATAACATAGATTTTTATGGAACTCTTTTTTTTTTTTTTTGTATTGGATACATCAAGAAGGCTGTCTTCAAAATAAGAGTTCAACATTTAGGTAGGATAAGTGTAGACTTTGTCCCTCCTTCAGGAAATGAAGGAAGAGGAAAAAAATAAGCAGGATCTTTGGAAACCTTTAAAGACAAAAAGCACAAAACTTTTAGATATGCTAGTTGTAGTGGAGCACAGGAAGAGGAAGACAAGTATTTCTGAACAAAAAGAAACTTAATAAAATGAAGATATTATATCTGTCCTTATAAATACATAGAAATATTAACACGTTCTTATTAGAAAATGGAACATGGAAAGCCACAAACAAAAATCTTGGTTTTCGTCTTACATGTGAAACAGAATTCTCAGGTAGCTTTTTCCACTTTGATTCTTTAAAAAAACTCCTAGAAAGTAACTAGAAAGTCCAATTAGGATATTACTGTTAAAGAATTCAAAGGGATCCAGATTTTTGCACTTTTAACTAGGGATTTATAATGAGCTGCCTATGTTGTTTTCACTTGGAACACAGCATCTAAGTTACTGTCACATAGGAAGGAAATGCCTCCACAGAGAAACTTCTGAAGCCCAAGTTCTTCATGGCTTCTCCCCTATGGATAAGTATTATCCTACACAAGTGATTTAAATAATCCTTTATCTGGCAGGATTTACAAGAAAATAACATTGAACAATTTCTGCTACCTAAGTTACTTAACGCATTTTTACCTTACTTTTAAGTATTTCCGACAGAGATGAAAGAGTATTTCCTTGAATGGCACAGTTTTAGGTATCTGTTATTTTTATATACAGTATATATATTTGTTTATAAATAAGATTGCACTCAGAAAATCACAATATGATGTTTCAATATGTTTGCAGCATGAAGTCTAACTGGAAGGAGTGCTATAGCTTTCCATGCAGCAGTACGTAGCCAATGCTTTCGATTTCTCATTTTCTTTTTCCTTTTAAGAACATGTTCAAACAACCATTCTTCGAATTCCACACTCGCAGCAGAACTTCGCCCATTCCACTGGATACTTTGTTCCACATTCATGGCAGAACTTTGACAATTGCACAGGTGAATTTCCTTCACTGCTTTTTGAACTTCCTCCGTTGACTGAGGATGGGTAGTCTCCGCTGTCATACCCGATTTTACCATCAGACCTGAAAATTCCCAGATAAAGAGCATTCTCTGTCATCTGTTCAGTGTAGCTTGATGCAGAATTATTCTAATCCTTGTAGTGAAGTTATTGCTATTACTGTCATTTTCATGCTTACACCTCTTATTTAATTACCTTACAACTCTACTCAACTGCCCTATTTTTCTCCAGATACTCACCTTTCCTGCAAGAAAACCAAAAAAAGTCAATATTTTAGAAGCAGGATCAAATATCTGATCCACTACTTAGATTAACTGGAGTGTCTGAAAACTTAAAAATTAGCTTGTCAAAATAAGAAAGGCTAAAACAGCAATACAATTTTCAGCCTCCTCTTTAAAAGCACAGACAACAGACAACTTGTGTGCTTAGAATGCAATTCCATTCAATTTCAACTGAAGCACTTGCCAGTTGAAAGAGCATTCACTGATTTTTTTCCTCATCTCCTAAAAGGTTTTTGACATTTCTAGCAATGTGTTCTGTGCACATCTGAGACAGCTTATGACAAAAGTGTTCTGCGAGGTGATAAATAATCAAAATTGAGTGTCTTAAACATGCTAAGTAACACTGACCATGAATTATCTATTAACTGCAGAGAACAATATTCTTGCCAACTTATTTTGTAAAAGGTATTCCCCTTTAACAAAGGTTCTATTATTGACAAAATCCATAAAGTTAAACTCTACCTTGAGTAACCGTCTGAATTGCTAGTTTTTCTTTTGTTTGTCAGAGCACCTGTGCTCATGGTTCTTGCCACACTAGGAGGGGTTGATGTCCGTGTTTTTGTTGCGCCTCTAAAACAGAATACGTATTTGATGATTTATATAATACAGAAATATATACAAGAAAACACATTTACAAATCATATTTAAAAAATGAGTTCAACAACCTACACATCAATTAAGTGCATGAAAAATACAACTTATTTTCTACGAAGAGCAGATAGTTTTGGCATGAACTTGCATGGTTTGGACTGAACATGACTTGAATCTTAAAATGACAAGCTCAACAGAACAGCAAGTCCCTTCCTGATGATGTGTTTCACTTGCAGGAGGTACCTGTATTGTGGTGGGACAGCACGACTGCTTGTTTAGGATGTTCCAGTGTCTACCCTGACAGACTACAAGCCACATTTTATGACTGGCAGGGCTCTGAGAGAAATACCAGCTGACTGCAGGTCTTAACAGTTTAACCAAAATGTAGAAAGGATACCATATTCTCAATACTTCAGTATGAAGCCAATCACAAGAATTTTTTTCTTCACAGCCACAGACTTTATTTAAGATGCATACTTCTCAGATAATGCTGTAGATCCTCCTGATGCTGTAGATCCTCCTCCTTCAAAGTATAAATATTGTATTTATCAATATAAATACAAGAAGGAAAGTAAAGAAAGTCTGTCCAGCTGGGCATCAGACTCCAATTTTTTTCTAGCCTGTCACAGTATTTTTAAAGTTGGCTGCAATATTAGTACCACATAGCTGTGAAAACTGCTTTCCTCAAGACTCATGGGTTTTAAGACAGAATGCAAGGAACAGCACATCCTAAACATAAAGAACATCTCACTGCTTGCTTTGGTTAGTAGAGAAAGATCAGAATCCCCTGAAAAAAACTGATAAGCGATAAGAAAACAAGATAGGAAGGGGCATCCTTAAATCATCCGTGCCAAGGACAGAATTTTCTGTCATTGCTCAAAAGAATTACCATTCACTGGCATTTCTTCCTTGGCACGACTTCAGTGACAATGTCATCTCACACATGGCCCATCAAGTTTTTCTGTTCTCTTTCTTGAATACCAATGCATAAATCAAATTTAAGGTGGGACTGGCTCATGGACATTTAAAAAATTAGTCACCAAGAGCTCAAGCAGCAACAAAGAAACAGAAGTGATTTTTTTCTTCTTTACCTTCAAATGAACCTAAGTGCTCCTTTCAGAATTATAAACAACTTTTGTCTTGGTTGCATTTTCAAATATATATAAGGCAATGCCTTCAGTCCTAGTAACTCCAAATCCAACAGTGACACAACTGAGGAACAAAACTGCTGAATTATATGACGTTGTATAAAACATTTCTCCCTTCCGGTAATGAAGATAGGCTAAAGATAATTTTTCAGCTCCTTCCATGACTTAAACACTTCAGAGGAAATATGGTCAAATGATTAAGAATAAAAGTAGAAATCAGTAACTGAACTTGCATCAAGTGAAATAATATTTAACTAAAGTATTCAAGGTTAACAAGAATGGCTTCTACATGAAACACGTAGAGTGGAACCATCAAAGATTTTGGCTCAGTGGTCAGAACACCAACCTTCCCTGTTAGTTTTCCTATCTGCCCTTTTACTTATTGAAGAGATTCTAAAGATGGTTTTATTAAAAATAAAATAAATAGCATGCAGATTGAAAAGTACTACCTCAGAATTAAAACGTATTAGAAGTTATGCCAGTCTTTCAGAAGATACAGAATAACAGGATGAAAGTTCAACATATAATCTAAATTACATTTTTATAACTATGCACAACAGCGCAGATGCTAAATATCTTGTGTTCCCCCATCTCGTTGTTACGCTGAGTAAAGACTTTTGCTTCTAACTGAGTAAAATTCATTAGAGCTCAATAGTGGAAAGAACACACTGGACTGTTGCTTTACTTGTTACGGAAGCTAGGAAAGCATATAAAGAAAAATTCAGCTGTAGATACAGAAACAGCATGGATCACCAAGGATCAGGGATGATCAGACAATGAAGCAAAGAACAAAATTGTGTCTCAGTTACTATTTAGAGGACTCTAAATAATTTAAAACAATTTTTTCAAAAGTATTACTGACCGAGTTTTCTCTGGATTTTCAGCTTGGGATCAAGATACTATTTTTTGAAAACTAACAACATGAATTTCTTAAAATGAAATCTCCTCAGTGTTTACTTTGAATCAATTGTGTTTGAACATAATGCTAGGAGTCCTAGATACTTGAAATTAAAATGAAAAATTGTCCACAATTCTTTCCTGTATTTCAACTGTTCAATTTTCCAAAATATGTGCAATATACCCTTCATCCCACCAGGTACTCCGAAAATTCACCTGATGCTTTAATACTAGGTGCATACAAGAGCAATTTCCCAGAAATCAGTGTCTCAGAAACACAATTTTTGGGCTTCCCAATTTAAGAGACAGGGACCTACTGGAGAGAGTCCAATGGAGAGCTACGAGGATGATTACGGGACCTGAACATCTCTCCCACAGAGAGAGACTGAGAAAACTGGGGCTGTTTAGTCTTGAGAAGAAAAGGCTGAGAGGGAATGTTATTAATATGTATAAATATCTGAGAGGTGTCAAGAGGAAGGTCCCAGTCTTTTTTTCAGTGGTGCCCAGCAATAGGTCAAGGAATAATGGGTACAAGCCAGAACACAGGAAGTCGCACCTCAAGATGAGGAGAAATTTCTTCACTGTGAGGGTGACAGAGCACTGGAACAGGCTGCCCAGAGAGGTTGTGGAGTCTCCTTCTCTGGAGATTTTCAAAACCCGCCTGGACGTGTTCCTGTGTGACCTACTGTAGGGGATCCTGCTCTGGCAGGGGGGCTGGACTAGATGATCTCTAGAGGTCCCTTCCAACCCCTGACATTCTATGATTCTGTGGTGTCTAGCAGAGCATTCAGGCCAATGACTGAACCAGGGGGAAAAAAAACAATTAAAACAAAAAAAAAAATCAAAGACTGTCCATCCTGTCTATTGAGGGAGGCAGAGTTTCATGAACAGATAAAAATGTTCATTAAAGTTCAACAGGGTGTCTTAATCCTGAAATGTTTAAACATAGTTCTCCGCATAATATGAATCTGTAGATTTTTTCCTCCAATTATTTTTCCGAAAACACAGAAAAAACCAAATCTATTTTCAGACTAGAAATTTTACTTTTAGTCTTACAATTAACTGCAATGATTTCTGCCATTTTCGATGAGTAGATCAACTGAAGTAGCAGGCTGCCACTGTCTACAACTCTTTTCACACAAATCTAGACATGTAATTAGTATCATGTTTCATGTATATTTGATGACAAATCTTGAAATTGCATCCTTAAGTTGCAATCTGATCTCTAGAGACATACATCTTCTAACAAAGTCAGGCATCCTTGATTATCTCAACTTTTGCCAACACAGCTTGGTCTCTTCTGATCTGTCCAAACTCTGCCACTACTACCTAGTTGTCTTGTTCTGTTTTTTTTTTTTTTTTTCTGTTTGGTTGGATTTTCTTTTTGCCTTTTGAAAAGCTGTATAAATTCCTGCTCTAAAATGTATCACATGAAGTAAAATGTATCACGTGAGGGCAAAAGCTGGTGAAGGGCCTGGAGAACAGACCTTATGAGGAGCGACTGAGGGAGCAGCTGGGTCTGTTCAGTTTGACAAAGAGGAGGCTGAGAGGGGATCTCATCATGCTCTACAATTACTTGAAAGGACATTGTAGAGAGGTTGGTGCTGGTCTCTTCTCACAGGTAATTAGGGACAGAACCAGGGGGAATGGTTGCAAGTTGCAACAGGGCAAGTTTAGGCTGGACATTAGAAAGAAGTTCTTCACAGAAAGAGTGGTCAGACACTGGAATAGACTGCCTAGGGAGGTGGCTGAGTCGCCATCCCTGGATGTGTTCAAGTGTCGTTTAGATGTGGTGTTGGGTGATATGGTTTAGGGGTGACCTTGTAGTGTAGGGTCAATGGTTGGACTTGATGATCCCAAGGGTCTTTTCCAACCTGAATTGTTCCATGATCCTATGATTCTAAGTATTAATGGAGCCTGACAGCAGACGAAGCTGTGTACCGATGCCACCCTTAACTCTTAAAATATGGACATACCTTTAAAGACATTCACTATCCATTCTCAATTTCAAAAGAAATAAGATGGCTGGGGACTTCGCTTTCTAAAGCAGCTCACATCATACCTTTAGTTGAATTACCACTGCTTGAAAAATGAAAAACTGAAAGGACTTTGTAGAAGCAGTTTGTCTTTTTCTATTTATGCGTACACAATTTGGTTGGGTTTTTCCATAAAATATTGAAGTATCAAGCTTGCTTCGTAGGCAGCGCTTTTTCAGGTATTCTTGACAGCTCTTACTGTCACCCATGACAGCTCATAGTTCTGTTCAAAAGCATTAAAAAAATCCTTATGATTAATGGCATGCACGCCAAAGTCCAGAAAATTTTGCCATAAACTGTAACCACCCACATTGCCATGCTGACTTTACCAACGGCTAGCAGCTACTCGCATTTGTCGACTGCTGTTGGCATGTAACATATTGAATAACCTCCTGCAAGGAGATTAGATTTAATTCATTATCTCAGTGGACATTTGAGTAACAGTGGTGTTATGAACAGCAGATTCAGTGCCCATACTCTTAAAGACATTTGGTCAAGAAGAAAGATCAAACCACTGCTCTATGGATAGGGAAGCATGTTTAGTAACTCACTAAGCTAAATTTCCAACATCTTAGTAACTTGTTAGAAAATTAAAAACTGACCTAATTTTTGATGGTTCACAGGACTTACAGCTCTAACTAAACATGCAAAGGAACAACAGAAAAAAATCTGTTTCTCTAAAAAGAGCTCACTCTCCTTCACTCCCTTTGCTTCTTCAAATAGAAACCCAAGTTCAAATATTCTGGCCCTGTCTCAAAGATACTTCAGCTTTGGTAACAAAACTAAAACCACATTAAGAGATTTAGACACATTTCTATTGGATTTTATTATCACATTCCATGCATGTGCCACATAATTCATTACTGACTTCTCTTTTGCAATATGCTTTAAAGTATTATCTATTAAGTATCAGTACACTGAAATTTGGCATCTTCCAAATTGTTTCAACAGGTTAACTACAATGTAGTATCTATTTCCCTTTTTAAAATATTAGAATACCCTTTATTCTAAACTTAGACCTTAAGCTTGCTGAATATTCTGAAGTCTTTATATGAGATAAGTTGGACTTAATAAGACTTCACCTCTCATCACAAAGTGTGCCTTGCTTACATTCCCGGACCACCACAGCTATCTTGCAGAAGCAGGAGACTGATAAATATTTAAGAGAATAAAATTAGCTCATCATAACATATTTGCCTGTAAGGCAGATATTTGTACAGTTATCAGGCTTAAACGCTTGCTTCAGCTTTACAGCATGCAAATTCAGTTTTATCTCAGGTTTACAAAAACAGAAGTTCATACAACCAGTGACAAAGAAATCAAATCTCCGAAAAGTCTTCAGCTTTCCTGTCCTATTACAAAGTTGTTTAACTAGCATGAAACAGACACTTATACTAGCTATATACTCTTCTCCCACAGCATTTATATCAAAGATATACTGGGCAGCAAGTGTCTGTCAAGGTCAAACTTTTACCACTCCAATGCTCTGGAGGAACATTTCTGCAAAACAGATAAAGCACGCTAATTTGCAATACTTACTTCTTTATAGGCAACAACTCATTTGGTCTTTTGATGGTACTGTCTGTTTTTGTATCAGTGTCATAAAACTTTTGGACATCTCTTCCAGTTCGCAGTGGTGGGCCTAACTTGTCCATCTTACTACTAAAATATACAAAGGGGTACTCATAAGGAGATTGCTAGATTTCTATTTAAGTTATCGCAAAAAAATAAGTAAATTACAATTAAATACTTACATTCTCAAAGAATTGCCATTGATTAAAAAAAAATTACACTAATCAGGCTTGAATAATCCAGCAAACAAAAGGTTTATTCCTATTTTGGAGAGGAGATGATTTTATAGAGTTATATTTGGAATAGACTTCCAATACATTTCTTTTCAACTCCTTTTTAAACAAAACAAAATAACGAATGTCGTTATCCTCACAATCTGCACAATGCACTCACATCTGGCCTTGTTTCTTTCGAAAACAGCTTTCACAATGTCAAATTTATCACATCTAGAAAAGGGGGCTCATAATTACAAGTCATTGTAACTTTGTTAAGATGTTATAACAGAGATGTAAATACAAGCCTCCTTAACTTTAGAATTAGCAAGAAAGAAAATGCCTCCTTTTTCACATCTTTTTAATTTTTTAAATTTTTTTTTTTATGTTTTAAATGGTTAAGGCCGAGCATTGTACTGAGAGAGAATAACATACCTTCCACTGTCTTTTCTTTTATGGAGATGAGAAAAGGACAGAGGAAAGCCTGAAAAAACCCCCAACTTTGTTTAAATATCACAAATCCCACTCAGAATAGACAGTATTATATACACAGTCAATAGTTTACACTTTTTTTTATTACTATGGAGAACATTTACAAACCAAAAAGAATAAATCAAAAATCAAACTTATAAAACATCAATAAAACAATAAAACACACCACCATACCTCCCCATAGATCATCAGAAGGAGAATTCTAGCTTTTGAGAAATCACAACTTATATTAGAAAAATTAGGTCTTCAAGTGAAGTATTGCATTTTTAGAATCTTAAACCATAGAGTAAAACCTGCAGAAAGCCCATTATGTGACAACCCCTACCTCAATAATGTAACTGAAGTTTCTTCTTCTCAAAAAAAGCCTAGTAACTTAAGCCTTAACTGGAAAATTATGACACTTGGATTATTTTTATTGATCTTTCTGAAATTAAAGAACTATAGAAAAACAAACCAAGCAAGACTGATGGAAATGACTGGGTAGCTGAAAGTTAACTCTTCTGTAAACTTCCCCCTCTTAAAGGGAAGTCATAAGGAAAAAACAACTAAGTAAAACCAACAAAACATCCTCACACCAAGAGAAAAAAAATCTTTACTGTGCAGTTTTCTGATTCTTGTCATGCAACCTTAAACTACAATGCCAGGAAAATTACAGAACAGCTAAATGCTCTCAGGGAAGCCTATTATTTTCAATATAGGTTTTCATATGCGTATTTTAAAAAGGCTCTTGTGTATCTCCAACATTCAGATCATAGTACTTTTCATACTCCTTCTGCAACAATCTGGTTTTTGGGAAGGTTTTGTTGTGAACCTTGCACACCACATTAGCAAAGGAAATCTCTCCACAAGAAACAAAAATTCAACAATGCTAAACTATATTAATTCATTATAAAGTCAGCAAGGAACACTGAGATTTCAGTCTTGACAATTTAGCCCCAAATAATGCAGGCTGCAAAATAAGTTCCCCTGGAGACGTTCTTCCCACTCCTCCTCCCAAACAGATGTTCTAGTTCAAAATAATTAACTCAGGAAATGCTTAATAGATTCCCATTTGACCCAATACACACTCTATGTGTTTCCCAAGGACTGAGGTCTTTGACACTATACGTCTTGACACATATTCCAACCTATCATGATTCTTATAGCTCTTTTCTGAACCTCTAACAATTTATCAACATAATCTCTAGCTCCAGGCACCTACAGAGCAGAGTATCAATGATAGTAACCTAGAGGCAGTCATGATACTGCCAAAATAGAGAACTATTGTATTCTTCCTCACTCAGAAAAAGAAACCAAAACCCCTAAAGCTGACAGCCCTGTCATGTACTAATGAAAAAAAGGACCACCATAGGCATCTTCTGAAATGCAAAAATCACAAGGTCAACTTGTTATTTACCTTGATTTCACTGAACAAAGCTGTGTAAGTTATAACCGTAACAAAAGAAAAAAGCTACTTTAAAAATAGATTTTTAAAGGCTACGGATGTTGTATGGCAAATACATAAGCGGAATTTAAAATTCACTTATACTGGTTGGGTGTGCCATTTGTATTCCATTTCAGCTGTAAGGCAGTATGAGATGTGTCATTAGCAGACATGGACTGCAGGAGGCATAACTCTGATCAGGGGCAATGGTTTTGAACTAGAGCAGGGAAGATTAAGACTAGATATCAGGAAGAAGTTCTTGACTCTGAGGGTGGTGAAACACTGGAACAGGTTGCCCAGAGAGGTGGTGGAGGCTCCATCCCTGGAGGCATTCGAGATCAGGCTTGATGTGGCCCTGAGCAACATAATCTAGTTAAGGACATACCTGCTCACTGCAGGAGAGTTGGACTACATGACCTTTAAAGCCTCCTTCCAGCCCAACACATTCTACAATTCTATGATCAGCTTAACATTCAACAGGTACTGGCCACCAACAGCAGTGTCAAGTTCTGCCAGACAAAACAATTTGCACGTGGGAGTGGAGTTTGCCTTTCTGCTTAGCCTTAGCATAGGAAGAACCTAACTGATTATTTCCTCTTGAAGATCTGATTACCTCTGACAACTTACCAGAACTGCCTTAACCCCCAAGAAACATAAGGCAGTGCTAAACTGTGTACTCTTGCAAATATGCATCAAACTTAGGATCTTAACATGGCTTACTATCAGCTTACAAACCTAACTCCAATTTATGTAGAATTATTTTTCCTTTTCTCAGTTCTTCAACAAGACATTCATGCAAGTGAACACAGGTTTTTCTACCAACTGCAATTCAGAGTGACGCACTACTCTTGCACTGTTACTTGCTTCTCTAGAACTCAGAAATGATGCCTTTATGCTACATTCCATTAATACAGTACTAGTGGCTGTGTAAGAACACTGGCTGTGCCTTTACTCTGTTTAGGCATAAAAAGAAAACTCTCACAGCAGAGCTCAGCTGACACATCCTGATCTAAATGTATGAAACAAGCCTGACTAACACTAACTTAGCTTGTGTTGACAATGTTGTGGTGTGCAGAGGAGCATTTCAATTAAAAAAAAAAAAGAAACAGTATAGCATAAATAACTTAAAATAAGGAAAATTTGGTTGCACTTCTGCTTATATAAAATAGAAGTTTATGCTGCAATATTTAATTTGAATGTGATATGAAACGAAGTTCAAGAATCATCCCTTTAAGGTGTTTAGTTCTGTCAAGGCACAGTTCATTTCATCCTTCACCTCACAGAAGCGCAGGAACAGCTTCCTGTGCCTTTCCCAATAGTTCCAGGCTGCAGTTCAAGTGTGCCACCTAAAGAGCAAGAGGGAAACTGCACGCCTGTATATTTTAAGCACTTATCGGCCCTTTGCATACCCTTCACAGAGACCAGGTACCACGTTTCTACAGAAAGAAGCAGTGTGCCATTAAATTCGCCTCCTCCAACATACATATAATTCGCCCTTGATATTACATAATATAACTGTAATTTTACTACTAACCTTCACTACCTCTGAGGAATTACAACAATCAAGGCAAAAATGGAAGGTTTCACTTAACATGTTAAAAAAAAATTTAAAAATAAATTAGTTTGTATTAGGGAAAACTGCAGGAGCTTATTTTTTCCAGCAAAAACTGGAATTTAACCTGGTCAGAAAAGCACCTAGGCTCTTAAATATTTGCCAAGAAAATTTTAAAAACAATAAAGCACATGATTTCAATATTTCACTGGGCCCAGCAAATCAGTTCCCTAACAATTCAGTGGGAAGTGGGAAGAGCATGACATACGAGCTCTGCCTGACCTGCGTAACAACAGAATCTCAGATTTCATGCTACAGCTTGTCATTTTACTGGTTAAATCATAAATGCGGCAAAATAAATACATCTTATTTCATCCTAATGAAGGTTGTTTTTATAATATTTTAAAGGCACTTTATAAAATAATTGTAGCTGTAATTAGCTATAACCTAAATTATAAGATGTTTCAATATTTAAAATCCGTCACTACAGTATTAACTATCTCATTCTCTGACTGAGACTGTTTACTGCTAATGTCTCAGTCCCTCCTCTGCTGTAATTATTTAGGTATTTCAGCAGAACCCTAAACATTACCCCTCATACCCCAGTACTAAGGCTGACGTGATTAAGGCCAAAACTGTCACTAGTGACCAATCCCAGACACCTAACTCTTCCATGCTGTTAGTGCACTTATACCTCTGCTTCAGCGTAATTCCTGACAAATTTGTTCTCAGAGGTGAACACAAACTAGCTAAAAGAAAAAGAAACAATTCCCAGGTCTCCAGTATAACACTTTGGAAAGAGACACATTTAACAGCCATCTGTGAGAAGACAACCAGCAAGAAATCGTGAGGACTCATTGGAAAATACAAGAATGCAAGTTTTTCAGAGCAGAGATGTAAGAAGGACCGCAGGCAGAAAGCCACTCGTCCCACTCATACTCCTAAAAGCTGGAAATTGCACAGACAAGTAAATGAAGTTGTAAGCCAAGCTAACACTCACTGCCTCTAAGCAGAGACCATTACCCAAGAGCTCTGCCAACCAGAAGGCATTGATTTGCAGTTAACTGCACCTGCCCACAGAGGGAACCTGTGCAAAAACCTCTCTCTGTGTTAACTGCTATTTGGCTTAGTCACATCACAATTCTTCCTCTAAGCTTCAGGAGGGGAAATGGAAAACTACTAGAATACAAAGCACTAAGTCCAGTGAACAACTCAGTGGTAAAATTAAATACAACTTCCAAAGTGTTAAGAAGTGAAGATCAAAACCTGTGCCTCCTCAGAAACCAATACGTACTGCAAAGAGAAACTCTTATCAACAGTCTTTGTTGAAAAAGTCTCTCCCAGACAGCCAGAATTCACAACTGCAGTCAGAAAAATGCTTTCAAATTCCCTGGCTTTTTTATTGTGGCTTGCAGACCTACTTGTTTGCCACTCATCAGTAGGTGTTAATTCAACTTCTGGAAATGGAGAAGTGTGTTATAAAAAACAGGCAGTGAATAACAGAGGGTGGGATTTGCTGACAGTTGAAGCACAGATGCCTACAAAAAGTAGTGAAGCTGACCAGTTGACAGAGGACTACAAGGATATTGAAGGGGGAGTTGGAGACAGGGAATAAAACCAAAAATAAATTCTGACAGCCTCACAGACTTGGCTCCGGTCTGTGTCTGAAAGACTCAGTATGAGTGGGTAGAGCAAGGAGGGACAGAGCTGCACGCTCATGCTGCGTGGTGTTAGAAGGGTGGTATGACAGAGCTGTAACTCGCACTTGAGCGTAACTTTTAAGACTTAAGAGCAATAAACTAAAAATCACCAGTGGTGCGTAATTAATCAAGCTGTCCATACCCGCGAGAGCTTCTAGAATGTCCTTTTTCTTCTTCACAAAATTAAGCTCTTGTGTTTCTCCACCCTGCACAGCCTTCACCAAGCTGATCCTCCTTTTCACAGGAGCATGTCTTCTTCAATATTATAACTACAATTGCTTTGCTGTATTTTTTATGTTTTCTCTCAAGGCTTCTTGGTGCTCCTCAAACTTCTGTAAAATTGCACTACTTCCCTTCAATCCCTTCCACACATTTCTTCTTGGAGGTAGTGTGCACTGACTGTCCCCCCAGCAAAGTATCAGTAAACAGCCCTGATCACACCAGCACTTTCACTGAACATCCACCACTTCCTGTTGCTCTTGTAGGGTACTGGTTTCCACTGTGCTCATTCATTTGTTGCCTCTTAAGTATTTGAGGACAGGAGTGGGATGAGGGAAAGTGTTTGCCCTTTTGTCTTAGGAGGGAAGATCCTGTCACAATTGGCTTGTGGTCTGTGACAGAGGCCTCTTATTTCCACAAATGCTATGAAATTATGCCTGATGACCTCTCCTTTTTTAAGTCTCTTCACTTTTACAATACAAAAACCAAACTCCAACAACTTCTGCATATTCTAGAACTTTTTAATCTATTTTTATCACTTGACTTCCTTTGCTATTATTTTAACATTAGGAAATCCACCTTTGACGACTCCAATGTTCTTTAAACATTATGTTTATAAATAAAGGATAAATTCTAAATACTGCAGTTCTGAAGCCCACAGGAGAAAAAAAAAAGGCAAGTGAAACAGATCACAGAGACTTCTAGAACTAGAACAAAATAAATATGAAATAAAGCACAAATGACTATGAAATAAAGGACAAATGACTATGAAATAAAGCACAAATGACAACATTAAATGGAAACTTACCCTGCTTGTGGGTTCATCATTCCCAGTGAGTTTTTATGAGCTGGTGATAATGTCTGAATTTTGCTCCCACTGGATCCAGATGAGGACAGTGCTTTACTTGAAGAGGAACCTTGGAGTTGAAAGCAAGCATGGAAATGTAAGAAAACCTAAGAAAACCTGCTGGAATGATACAATTCATTGTATGGATTTTAATTATAAAATCCGATTTAAGACTTTCAGAAATAAAGACATGAACAAGCACTAAGATACTAGGAAAAAGCAAGTATGTTTCCAGAAACTTACAGAAAACATGCAATTGAGACATAATCTTTATTCTAATACAGAACATTGGATCTCAAATACTCCCTTCAGAAAGAAAAAGAAAAGAAAAGAAGTCTAGAATGTTAAAGTATGTACAAACAGAACATGTTTGATATCTGATGGTATCTGAAATCAGAGTAAGGCCAGTGTTTGCATCATTATAATATACATGGCTTGGCTATGTATTTTCACCAATTCACGATCACATTCAGCGTACGAATTAGTTACAGAATTGCGCAATAGAAAAATCTCAGATGAGAGACAAGTATTCAATGCAATTATGTATTGCTACAATGCATGATTTTGTAGGTTCAATTCGCAAAAAAATAAATTTGATCTGATAGATAAAATAAAATAGAATCCTATGTGCTCATGAGTTTTGCTGGATAGATGCCAATCAGTGTCCTTTCCAACTTTACTTTAAATGAGTTTTTACAAACCATTACATCAATTTCAACAATAAAGTATATAGCCATTGCATACGTAGGTCAAAAGAATCAGGTCACAAAAATACTGATTAGAAAAAATTGTATTATGAAAAACAGACACCAGCTTACCCACTCAGATAACACTGAACCCTATCAAGTTATTTTTCTTCATCAGTTTAAGCCACAGGGCAACACTGTAGAAATCCATCCATTTATTAAAATTATACTACTTTTACTGCATCATCTGAGAACTAATATTTAGAAAGGAAATGGAAAGTTCGTAACATTCATTTCATACCTACGACAGTTTTGATAACACCACTTGGCTGTGGTAAGCGTGATGATGATGACGATGGTGGTGCTGATCCTACAGAAGGCATCTTCTTAACTGCAGCAGGTTTGTACTGTAACAAAATACAACCTAGAAATTTAAGCAATTAAATCAAACTATCTATGTAACATGACAGGCAGTTATCCCAGGTACTGGGTGAAAACAGACAATGATTATCTCCTAGGTACTGTTTCTGGTGCCAGATCATGCAAATGGTTTCCACTAGTCTGCTTTCTTACACATACAGATGACACTAGTAGGAAAAATTATCTAACTCGGTGGGTTTGGTTTTTTAACTACATGTCTTCTGTGTATTTTCTGCTTTTGTACAGCTTTGCTAATCTTTTTCGATAGCTGACTCAGAAGAGTAACATTATCACCTCAGAATCAGTTATTTTAAGAATATTCAAGGGCAGAATCATTTTTGTCTTTCAAATCTTTCACCTGTCCCAGCACTGGTTCAGAATACTGTGCAGCTAACTGCTTGTGTCTGTTTAACTTTTCATAGCTTCCAGAAAAAAAAAAAAGAAAAACCACATACAGTAAGGCTTCAGTAAGGCTTTCTTGAACTCAGTAAGGCTTTTGATACCGTCTCCCATAACATCCTCGTAGGAAAACTCAAGAAATGTGGGACAGATGACTGAACTGTGAGGTGGATTGCGAACTGGCTCAACCACAGAGTTCAGATCAGCGGCACAGAGTCAAACTGGAGGCCTGTGGCCAGTGGTGTTCCCCAGGGATCAGTGCTGGGTCTAGTTTTGTTCAATATCTTCATCAACAACCTGGATGAGGGGACAGAGTGCACCCTCAGCAAGTTCACTGATGATACGAAACTGGGACGGGTGGCTGACACAGAGGCAGGTTGTGCTGCCATCCAACGAGATCTGGACAGGCTGGAGAGCTGGGCAAAGGGGAACCTCATGAAGTTCTATAAAGACAAGTGTAGAGTCCTGCATCTAGGGAGGAATAACACCAGGCACCAGTACAGATTAAGGGTCGCCCTGCTGGAAAGCAGCCCCATGGAGAAAGACCTTGGAGTCCCAGGGGACAGTGAGTTGTCCATAGGACAGCAATGTGCCCTTGTGGCCAAGAGGGCCAATGGAATCCTGGGGTGCGTTAAGAAACGTGTGTCCAACAGGTCTAGGGAGGTTCTCCTCCCCCTCTACTCTGCCCTGGTGAGACCACACCTGGAATACTGTGTCCAGTTTTGGGCTCCCCAGTTCAAGAGAGACAGGTACCTACTGGAGAGAGTCCACCAGAGAGCTACGAGGATGATTAAGGGACCTGAACATCTCTCTTACAAAGAGAGGCTGAGAGAACTGGGGCTGTTTAGTATTGATAAGAAAAGGCTGAGAGGGAATGTTATTAATATGTAAAAATATCTGAGAGGTGAGTGTCAAGAGGAAGAGACCAGTCTTTTTTTCAGTGGTGCCCAGCAATAGGTCAAGGAATAATGGGTATAAGCCAGAACACAGGAAGTTCCACCTCAACATGAGGAGAAACTTCTTTACTGTGAGGGTGACAGAGCACTGGCACAGGCTGCCCAGAGAGGGTGTGGAGTCTCCTTCTCTGGAGACTTTCAAAACCCACCTGGATGCATTCCTGTATGACCTACTCTAGGTGAACCTGCTTTAGGGGGGAGGGACTGGACCAGGTGATCTCTAGAGGTCCCTTCCAACCCCTGACATTCTACGATTCTATGATTTTAATCGTTCATTTGCTTCCATCATAAGTTAAGTAATGCAGCTTTTACCTTAGTACATCTGAATTTCTCTAATCCTCCAGTTAGCCAAAATACTGGTTTTAGTATCCTGTAGTTATGTACCTTTGTTTGTCCACTTGAAGAACAGTCAAGACTTGCACAACAAAAATTCAACTATCTTCACAAATACTGCACCTCTGCTTCCTGCTACTACCCTTACCTGGCATTTTCACAAATCTCTGAATTACTTTTATAACTGATTTTGGCTTTGCAACTGTTGCCAGCTGATTTATGGATCTATGCAACTCTCCTAAGAAAGCAAAAATCTCTTCTATGCTTAGTGTTTATTTTCAGTCTAGTGCAAATAATAAAATTAAGGAGTAAAATAGTTAATTGCATTTAAGAGCAACACACTATTCAACAACCTTGATATGATGCTGAATGCAAGCTACAAGTTCAGAAAAATATTGTAGTTCACCTGTGTTCGAGTAGGAAGCTTCCCTTTGGTTTCAGCTGCCAATTTCCCCTTATTAGTAATACGTGCTGCTTGTTCCTTACAGAAATTGATGTGTCTGTCAGCTGCATTTTCATTAAATCTCCTCTGACAATATGGACATTGAATGTAATCTTTAAAAAATAAAAAACTAATATTAATAATGTGCTTTAAACAATAAAGTGTTTTAAAGTCTTCTAAAGAATAGCCTCTGCCCCACTCCCAGAGAAAATTAAGTGAAATGAAAATGAAATACAGATTGCTGGGGTAAAGAACATTGTTCACATGTAACACAAAAGATGTTTCTTGTCTGATAAGAATGAGAAAAGCGGTTGAGGATCAGAAATAACCTAAGAAAAATCAGAAAGCGCTTTGAAAAACACTATTCAGCAGAGAAGGTGGCCAAACAGGTACATGGACAGGTCAGGAATATCAGCTAGAAAGGAGTGGAGAAAAGGTTAAATTAGAACAAGCAAACAAAAAACCAAAAAAACCACAAAAAAACCCCTCAAAATCAGCACACACATTCAGGTTGTTCAAGATATAAAAATGCATTAAAACCTTTCTCATACAAACAGAAAAAGAAAGCAGAATTTGTCTCCTCTGGCAGTCTTGAAAGGATTGAGAAATACTAACTAAAATACTGAAAATTATCTTAAAAAAACCCCAACACAATAAAACCACAGAAATTTAACAATCAAAAAGCCCAGCCAAAATTAGGGAACTCTGTTAAGACATGGAACACAAGGTAATTGGTGGCTGTCTTATTTTTAAAGATTAGTCGGTCACGTTACAAATTACTACTTGTAGGAAGTATTACTACTAACATTGGGGAAAAAACATAAAGGCTACATAAGTGTTTAAAATGCTACAACATCCCTCATCTGTATGCTTGAAATATATCCCTTAAAATACATTGCCCTTGGAAAATAAAATGTTTGGACTACAGTTTCAGACAGACATTTTAGTGCTTAGAGATACGGATGCTGAATTCCTCAGATTACAGTATTTGAAAAGTGTAAACATCAACTTCAGAAGGGCTGATCACTCACAAAGCAGGTTAAATTAGTATGTTCCCAGGTGATTTTAAAAATGTATCAAAGAAAATGAGTAGAGACTAAACAGTCACTACCTCCAAGATTACAGTTTGATATTATACAATCCAAAATAAGGTTTGGATTACACGTTACTATTCCAAATGCTGTAGAATCTGGCTTAAGTAGTTATCTCTTTAAATTAACAAATAATTTTGATTAAGTCAAATGATGTGGCAACTCAACCATGAACTGTGACCCAAGAAGTGTGAGCAAGAACACAGGAAACCTTCAGAGAAGTGACAGCATGGGAATCACATGTGATAACAACAATGATTTTTAAATTTATTTATTTTACATAAACAATTCCACTAGTATCAGACTACCCAAAGATCAACTACACCTTAAGAGACAGGAACTCAGAAGTATAAGAGCTATAATTTCTAGGTAGACAAAGAAAGACAGGCCCAAAGCTCAAAAAAAAAAAGAAAAAATATGAAAAAAGCAAAATAGATTAACTACAGAAGCCCTGAGATAATAAGAAAAGACATTTCTAGCTTGTGTACAGCTCAGTATCCACAGAAGACTTCCAAAGCCCACCAAAATAAATAGACCAAACTGTAGAGGATTAATGTGTACTCTTTTAATAATGAGGAGTAGTATCTTGATCCTTCTGTAAAATGCTTAGCACCAGTCAGCCACCTGGCCATCTTGGAACTACCGTTCATACTACACAGAAGTGTTCGGGCTCAATGTACGCTTTATAAACTACAAACTAATCAAAATAAGAAGGTATTACACATGAAGTCAAGTTTAATGTAAATGGGGTGACTTAGCGTCCTTCTTAATATCATGAGGCGACTCTGGACTTCTAAGGAAAAGGTAGAACAGGAGATCGAAGAACCAGCAATACTGATTGTTTGCAAACTCAAAGCATGCAATTGACTAGAAAACATTAATGCCGAACTCTTTCCTCTTAAAGGAAAAAGACTAGAAAGCTAGTTAGAAATAAGCATGCCAAAGACAGAGCTGAGTAGAAGATGGCTACACCCTGTGACACCTTCTTTCTACACATGAAGTGGAAAAGGAGCAACAGTACCTGCCTCTGTTCTACTTTTGTTCCATTCTATTAGTGAGAACGCTTCCATCAGTGCTGCCTCTGTACAATCCTAAACACCCACTGGACCGACTATGTGACCGATGTCACTGTCCTTGAACGGTCAGGGGTCACCAGTATTCAGGCCATGCTGCTGAGGACGCAGCTGCGCTGGGCAGGGCACGTCTCCAGGATGGAGGATCACCACCTCCCTAAGGTTGTGCTCTCTGGTGAACTTGCCACTGGCTGCCGCAACAGAGGAGCCCCAAAGAGGAGATACAAGGACTCTCTGAAACAATACCTCAGTTTTGGCCATATTGACTACCATCAGTGGTCCTCTCTGGCCTCCAGTCGGGAGACGTGGAGACACACCATCCATAACGCTGCTGCCTCCTTTGAGAACGCACGTAGAATTAGTCTCGAGGAGAAAACACAACGCAGAAAGAACCGTGCCTCGCCAATACCACCTAAGGAGACTTTCCGCTGTGCCTTTTGCAACCGGACTTGCCTATCCCGCATCAGCCTTTTTAGCCATCAGCGCACATGTAGCAAGTGTGAGTAGAGCCCTTCCCATATCTTCATTCACAAAGCCCAGCCACGATGATTAGCGAGAAGAAAATCCACTGATCAACTCATGCATCTTCTCTTCATTCTTGGTTCTCTCCTCCTAAGTCTTACCCACTGCAGCAGGATGAAGCCAGGAGAGAAAGACCAGCAAAACTCAGTCTGGAAAAAGTGAAAATGGACGGAGGAGAAACAGAGGTACAGTATCTTTTTCTTTGCTTCAAACTCACTTGCAGTCTCTGGAACCAAGGAAGCCTCATTTTAGTAGCTTTTGCAAGGCAGACTGAGTTCTGGGCTCTTCTGCTTGTAATTCAGAACTGATACAACTAGATTATTAGCAATCTTTGCCATGATTGAGCCTTATGTTTCTTACAGACAGCACTAGCTATTGATGTTATTTTAAAATTCCTATGGCATTTCAAGATAGCATGTACTGAATGCTGAATAATACAACTTCACTTCTTACTAGGAATGCACAATTACAATCCTAACACTGGACTAACACATTTCCTGCAGAAAAACAGAGGAGGGAACACTCTAATCCTCATCTGACCACAGACTGGCAGAAGCAAACAGATGCTTTTTTTCCATTTTTCCCAATCTTTCTGAAAATAGCCATTGAGCTGAGCAAATTGTTTAGGAAGAGGAAGAAATATATTCTCCAACCTATTATCACATCACAGAAGTGAAAAGCCTATTTCCTTCTCACTCGCACCAATTGCTTCAATGCTCTACCCAGCCTCAGTTCTGAAGTCACCCAAGAACTGTCACACTCCCTTGTTAATGCAAATTCCACACATCTCTCACATCCAAAATGTGAGTACCCCCACCACATGAGCATCACACACCCACTAGAGCATACAGAGCCTTCATGAAACAAAATGTAAATATAGGAAGAAATGGGAGAGACTATATGTGAAGAACATAGCTGGTGTGCATTCCTACAGTGCCAACAGGTTGTGGGTGTCCAGCGCCGACGGCTAATCAAACAGGCAGCCCGCTCTGCCTGGGCGGTCCCACTGTGGCAGACAGAAACAAGCTACTGAAACCATTTTATCCAGCGTACGGTTTGCAAGACTGCAGCGAGCTGCAACGTGGCCACAACTACCTTTTGATGTATTAAAAACAGAGTCATGGGCTTTGAAAGCTACACCAGGATCTAGCTAGCCAGACCCACAGTCATAAACCAGCATTTGCATAGGGATAATCACATAGTCATCTTCAAGAATTCATGAATTCTGTATTCCAACAAATTCTTTTCCAGTTCATTTTTTTTTACAAAGTAAGTTAAAAGAAAATATCTCTAAAGAACTAATTTGTTTTACATACCAGGGTCATATGATGGCGGAGGTGGTGGAGGGAGTTTTCCACCATCTTTAAGATTAAGTCCTTTGGCTGCTCGTATAGTTGCTATAAACTCCTCGTGCTTTCGTCTCCAGTTGGAAGGTTTTTTGGGTGGTTCTGGCTAAGAAGCCAAAAAAGAAAAAGGTTTATATGTTTGAAGCCCTTGCTTCAAGCTAAGTATGTGCCTTATTTTAGTATATAACATTATAGTTAGATTTCTTCCAGATTCTAGGTGATTTAATTATCATGAATTGCCAAGAGAAAAAAGCTTTCTTTTTTTTTTTGCCTCAACTGTTCATACGTAGAGGAAATTATAACATACCCGTGGCTTAAGAGGTTTTACTGTGGGAATGTCAGTTCCTTCTGCTCTCTGCCGGCTGGAATCAAATGTCTTCCTTTTCTTAGCAGAAGTTTTTTGGCAAATGGGTCCATGCTTCTTCTACAAGGAGAAGAAAAACACAATGAGAATACAGAACTTAGCTTTGAAAACTTGTTATTAATGTGTTATTTCCCTCTTCCTACATACGCCAATGAGCAAACAAGGCCCAACTCTCGAGGAGTAGTACCAGACTGCTTTCACTCCAACATTTATGGCACCCACTACTTTCAACAGAACTACAGGAATTCACAAATGCATGTATATAGTCACATAAAACTTTGGCAAGGAAGAAAAATAGAAGGTGTCTGTATTTGTTCCTTGGAAATACAAATTAATGGGAGATAGGCAGCAGCAAGATGAATCAGAGGCATCTGGAATTCATATTCCTATTTAAGGGCAGACCAATTTCTATTAAGACTGGAGAACACAGTAATCTGAAGATGGCTAACAAAATACTTACTAGACAAGACTGCATAATGCTAGGGCTTACATTAGCAGAGGCAAGGAATGATTCTATGACTCTACATTAGATGCTTTCAGAAGCATGTGTTTTCAGAAAGTGATAGAATCCTGAAATAAAATCAACTTCCTTCTAAGGAACTTGACACAACTGGAAGTGATAATTATTTGGAAGAAAACCCACAGAAATTCACCAAACACAAGCTTCTAGATCTACTTTATTTAGCTATAGGGACCATTGCTCAATTCTCTTATCAACTTCTTAAATCTAAAAGCCAACAGTGCTCTCACCACTTACCAGTGCTGCTGGAAAGAAAGTCCTTCCACAAATTCTACATGGCAACAGATCTCCAGTTTGCACTGTAACCTCACCTTGAAAAAAAAACACAAAACACAACCAAAAATCATACTTCTATAAGACAGTTTGTTTAAATTCATGACAAAAAATTTCTTCCTAGACTGTTAACCTCATATACTTACCAATAGTAACAGTTGCTACTGTACAGCTACATGCTCTTTGAATTGTGCAAAGACTATGCAGATCAGAAAGAAAAAGATGATACATGACTCCTTATGTACATTTGGGAGCAGTCAGGTCCAGTATCACGTCACCATCAATTTTAATAATTTACAATATGAAACTCTGCACCTTTAAAAAGATGCCTGTATGTCAACATGTAAATGATAGATTCACTCTAATTCACAACAGCCCAAACACACATCAAGAATAATATTTAGTGGGTATGCCTGTGTCTTCGAAAGAGAATTGTTACAGTAACTTATACATCCCATCCCATTCCATCCCATCACTTACTAAGGTCATTCTACTTTCTCTTGTAAAGAAAAAAATCTTCAATGCTGTTTTTACTATATATCTTATTCAGATTATTACTGGCAGTTTACAAAAGCATTTCTGATGTTGCTATGCAAGCATTGGTAACAAAAATATAAAGGGCATACTCGACACACAACAGATTCACAGAACCAGACAGAAGACCAACAAATCAAAGCATCGAAGCCTATGGAAGCAAATACATTTATAGAGTACACGTTACACAACGGAGTCATGGAAGAATTTAAATACTCCAAAGGGCTTCCCAACTACAGGCATCTGCTATATTTAGTACTGTAGCAGAGGGATACAGGGATATTTTTATAACACATACACATCAATAAAGAGGCAGTAGATTTGGACTGAGACTTGCTAGTCACTTCCTCTGTACTCAGTCTGACTACTGCAGATATTAGAGCCTCCTCTATTCACACAAAGTTAAAAACACTTTGCATTGACTTGTATTTTAGGCAAATAAGTGGCTTAATGAAGGAAATTATGAACATAGCAATGTTCAATGATTTGATCACTTTTTGTTTCCAGTTCCCCAGTGTAAAACAATTTTCCATCTAAACATACATACCTGTCAATAAACTGTGGGACCAGTCCTAAAGAAAATAGGTCACTTAATAAAATGTTTCAGGGCAAACAGATGTAGATTCAGGCAGCCAAGATTCCCACTGAAAATCTTTTTTTTCCAAACGTAAAGATTAAAATTGAGTTAGATTTCTAATTCCAATATTATTAAGGCTATTTCTGCCTTTTTTAATTACTTGTCATCAGTACATAACTATGTATAACTTATTAATTGTATGAATATACTACAGAGCACAATCCATTCTAAGAATCACAAGTCATATAAAAAGCATTCTGCAGTTTAGAACATTGATGTTCTTTAATTAATTTATATACCTTTTCCACATAGACATAAATAGGCCCTTGTCACAGCATAGCAGGACTGGACTGACAGTAACTGAGTTTTACAGTTGTATCATAATCAAGTTTCGTTTTGTGTCACCTACATGTACATGAGTTTAGATGTGGGCAAGCAGAGGAAGTAGGAAAGACAGAAAACATGCAGGTAAATCTTGTTTTTCTTTTATTCTTGCATCCAAATTATACTTGTATGTTACCAATATTTTCTAGGAACTTAGTTTTTATTGTTAACTCTATTCAATCTCTGTTTTACACAATCGTGTCTGAATTCAGTCCTGTTTTCTTAAATCCATAAGCCTGAGCATGACACTGTGCTAGTTTTGGCCAGGACAAAATTAATTTTCTTCCTAGTAGCTGGTAAGGGGCTGTGTTTTGGATTTGTGCTGGAAATGGTGCTGCTAACACAGGGATATTTTTGTTATTGCCAAGGAGTGCTTACACAGCGTCAGGGCCTTTTCTGCTCCTCACCCCACCCTGACATTGAGCAGGCTGGGGGTGCACAAGGGGCTGAGAGGGGACACAGCTGGAACAGCTGACCCCGACTGACCCAAGGGACGTTCTGTACCACATGACATCAGGCTCAGTGTATAACGCTGGGGGAAGAAGATGGAAGAGGGGGACATTGGTGGTGATGGCGTATGTTTTCCCAAGTCACCGTTACGCGTGACGGAGCCCTGCTCTCCTGGAGATGGCTGAACACCTGCCTGCCCATGGGAAGGGGTGAATGAATTCCTTGTCTTGCTTTGCCTGCGTGTATGGCTTTTGCTTTACTTGCTAAACTGTCTTTATCTCAACCTGCAAGTTATTCTCCCTTTTACTCCTTCTAAATCTCTTTCCCATCCCACTGGGGTGACTGGCTACATGAGGCTGAGCTGCCGGCTGGAGTTAAACCACAACAAACTGTGATCACAAGTCTAGCACGCACACTGGTCATACATAGACTAGGTGGCTGAAACCTGCCCTCACCATTTTCCTCAAGGGTAAGTAGCAATGGTGGTAAGCTTATATCAACTCTCCTGCTCAGAAATACAAGGTATGCACAAATTTATTTAGTTTGTTTGTTTCTCTGCTTTATTCTTCAGTGTTCTCAGCACTAATGCTAACAGACATCACTGCAAACTCTTTTCTCCTAAAGAGTTCAGGTTCCTTTTATCACATTATTCTAATACAATCCTCGACTTTGCAGAAATAAGTGAGAGATGCACTTCATGTAAATACAAAGTGACACTTTGTGTCTTTAAGAAATTAGCTGAAATAAATCAGAATTAGTGATCCTGAAATATACTTGGTATATACTATAAAAAATTGAGGATCTAACTGAGAGAAAAAAAAAAATCAAATATATGCCTTAGTAAAAGAAGAAAAGCTACATTTCCAACCATTTTCTTCTTTTCAGTGAACTCTGGAACTCCAGTTTAAATTCACCATTAAAACAAGTAGACTTGATAGATGCTCACCTGATGGAGCAGTATTTACATATGACACACCAATGCCTAAGGAATGCCAATTAGTACTCACCGCAGCTACAGTTACAGAGCTGGATTTCCTTACAGCCCCTCCTTTGCTGCTGGCAGGTACTCACTGCCATTTGCCAAGAGCTATTTCTACTGCCAGCAACTCCTCCCTCATAATAGAGATCACTGACCCAATACAGATCACTGACCCAAAACACAAAAGGAAGTTATTTAAAGAAATTAAAGTTCCTTAAGTTTTGTTGAAAACAGAAAGCCTTCAATCCTTTAGATCTACACACTTAACTCTTCAGTTTCTTAATCATTTCTCTGATTTTCCTGCCTTTAAAGCAAAAAAAACCAAAACAAAACAAAAGAAAACCAGAAAAACACATCCAACAAAATCAAACCACAACACCTCAACATTTCTCTCTAGGAGCCCATAGACTTCCCTTACAGATGGGTTAGTAATGTCATCAGCATGAAATCTCATCATTTTAAAAAAATAAACAACACCACACAAAAAAAACCCTCTGGGAATAAAACTGTGGAAGCTGGAAAACTTGTTTTGGGGTTGTTCAGGTAGGTTTTTTGTTGCCTTTTTCTTTTTCTAAAGACATTCATGCATGATATCTAATGTAGTCACTTGGAGACTCATCAATTTTTTTTCTAAACAAAACTTAATGGAAATGGTTGTCAAAATGGAGGGGGAGGAGGTTGAAAAAAAGAACACTCAAATCCAGAAACAGAAGAAGGATTTGCTTGACAAACAAGTCTGAGAACAGAAACTGGTAGTTAAGATAGTGTTGTGGCAATTTTCTTTATTCTTCTTTAAGTTCAGCAACAATGTGGGGTCTACCATCATTTTAGTTCTACAACCCAAGATCCAGGAGCTATACTTCTTTTTCCTTTTACCATCTTTAATAGCACTAATCACCAGCACTTTAAATGCTTGTATTAAACATGAACGAATATAGTTAACTTGGAAAAGGATGTACATAATTATTACTGTTTATTTAATCTAGATGCACGTAGGGGGAAGAGAAGTATATTCAAAACGGTAATATGAATACCAAAGGAAGAAGTAGTATTGCAGCTGAAGTGATGCCAAAACTATGCTGTACAGCTTTATACCCTATTCTCCTGTTGCCTGCCTGAGACTAGATCTCAAACTTCTCCTCAAAAAAAAAGAAATAGAGTTCAACCTAGTAGAATGCTGGGTATCTGAATTAAATGACCGGACTGGAAGCTTTGTTTTTAGCTCTCAATCATCTCATCATTTGTGTTCCTAATTGTCCCTGTCAGAGCTCCTCCTCCAGCTATTTCCGAAGTACAACCACCTTCCAAATTATTTTTTTCTACCTACACATAAGCTACATTTGAATATGGTTAGTGTCTAGTTACCTATACTTTCTGATCTTGGAGTTTAGCTGCAAAGTTTGGGGGACCTCAAAGTCTGACAATATAGCCATACAGTCAGCCTCTCAGACATAGCACAGTCCTTTCGATACTCTTTTAGATGAATTTAGACTTCCCTAAATCCTAGACTTCCATGGAACAACTTTGTAGTGGTTTGACCCTGGCTGGCGGCCAAGTACCCACACAGCTGAAAATACAGTGAAGGCCCATGGTTTGAGATAAGGGCAGGGAGATCACCCGCAGCTACCATCCCGGGAAAACTAGACTCGATTTGAGGGAAATTAATTACATTTACTAACAATCAAAATCAGAGAAGAGTAATGAGAAATAAAAGCAGACCTTAAAAATAACACCTTCCCCTCAACCCTCCCTTCATCCTGGTATAACATCTTTCCCAATTTATCCACCTGCTTCCTGAGAGCTGCACAGGGGGACAGGGAATGGGGGTTGCGATCAGTTCACCCGACGTTGGTTCTACCACTTCTTCTTTCTGCAGGGGAGGGCTCCTCACTCTTCCCCTGGGCTACTGCGGGGTCCCTCTCAAGGGAGATGATCTTCACACAACCTTCTTCACCATGAGTCCTCTCACAAGAGACAGTTATTGACAAACCCCCAACGTGAGTCTCTCTCCCAGGGGTGCAGTCTTTCAGGGGAGAAACTGCTCCAGCGTGAGTCACCCACAGGGTCACAAAGTCCCACCAGTCAACCTGCTCCAGCATGGGCTTCCCTCTCTC